CTGCTCCATCACGCTCAGCCTGCGGGACGCATGCATGGCGCACACCCAGCAAGCCACCCGCCTGCCCTGCAGCCTGGTTTTGCACACCAACAATGAAAACTAGTGCATCTCCCGAGCCTTAAAACACACCAATTGCAGCAATCAAGGTGGGAGAAGGGATCCACGGCCGGGCTGCTGTGAGCCCTTTACCTCCTATCTGTTTGTACTCGCAGCTCGTGCCTCATCGAGGCTGGGTCGCGTCGAGCATCAGCCACCTCCACCCTTTCCAAGGGGATGCAAAAGCTTAAAATACGTACCTAACCCCCCCACGCTGCACCACCCACACAGCGAGGCGTCTCACAATCCTCCAGTCTAGAATGTGTCATTAACAGTGCTTCTAAGAGCTTTTTAATTAAGTGCGAGTGGGTTGGAAAGAATCTAGACTTTCTTTAATAAGAAGCTTTTTAAAAAAAACGTTACTTTTAATAAGAGCAGCGAGTATTTCTACAATCTCGTCTAGACACCGGCAGCGTGACGTTACGCAAAAATCTTGATGGGGCTTACGCTGCATTAAGGGATGAATGCATTTTTTTGGGGTGCAGCATCCCTGCGCTGCTGATGCAAAAACGCAAAGCTGGGAATAAAGATAAGGTGTTTAGAAGGAAGGGATGAGGGACAGCGAAAGCCACCAAGTTTGGGAGCTCTGCTCCCTCCCTGCCGAAACACGTAACCCCAACCGCTCCCCAAAACGGCACGCCCCCAGCAACAGCACCATAACCCAGACTGCCAAGCGCTGCATCTGGAGCAGGCTCTAACCCCCCTCCGCTTGACTCCACGTCTTAGGAAATGTAATCAAGGGCTTCGGCAGCATGGGAGAGGGTAATGGGATCGAGCCTTTCACTACTAGGTCACTGGCTGGGGGCCAGCCCGGCTCACTAATGACCCAGAGCCATGTCCCCAGCCGACGGCTGCTTCGGTGGGTGCGTGGGAAGCCTCCGTCCCGAGGCATCCGCCCCGGTACAGATGAGGTTTGCTCCGGAGGAAAGGGGGTCTGCTGCACAAAAAAGCCAAGCACACCTCCTCGCGCCAAAGCCTCGCAGGGCCGACTGAATGGCAGATTGTCCAAACGCTGTTTTTCTTGCCATTAGAGCTATTTTTAACAGCTATCAGCCTTGACGAGTGGTCCTGGATTAGCGGTAGGGCAGATTTAATGGCCTGAGGCTGCACGCTTTCCAAAGAGGCGCCCAGCCGGGCACATCCAAGCCCCGAATCACGCCTCTGCCTGGGCACGGCATCAGCCACACCGTCCCCCTGCCCCTTCATCCATCCCCATAGGGAAACGATCGGACCTACCAGCCCTTCTCATAGCGGCTCCCCGCCGGCGTGGGGCTTCCCACTAACCAGCACTGGGGCCACAGGCAGGAGCTCTAAGGCAGCCTTCAAAACCCAAGTCGCGGGCCTGCTTTGCTCAAGCCTGTCTTTCACTATAAAATAAAACCGCTGCAGTCTTTTACAGCAGAGCAATATTGCAATTGCGAGCAGCAGCAATTGAGGCCATTACTGTCAAATGCCACAGGACGCGGGTAGCACACCACCCATTACCACCCGGGGAGCCCGAGAGAACAGGCGTGGGAAGCAACGCTCCTGCTACAGCCCCTTCTCCTCCGCTTGTTTAGATCAGTTACCGCCTGAGAAACATGACACACAAAGCTACTGGGTTCACAGAAAAACCACGCCGCGGGAACAAGTCCCCATAATAAATACCAAAAAACACAAGCAGGTAGTTGAGACTGAGAACCCTGATCTGGTGTTTCCCTGCCCGACACGAGGCAGCCGATGAGGACAGCGTGCTGGCAGCAGCGGGAAGATGCCCACCTAGTCAAAAACCACTTGTATCGAAGGTGGACGCTGGTCCCAGCTGAGCGGTGCTGCTCAAGGATGCTCAGGCTATTTGCTTTCTTGTTGCCCACACCCTACAAGCACACGTGGGATGCTCTCAGCCTTTTGCTGAGGATGATTGCATGCTCGTCCAAAGGCTGCTGTCACATCAACCTGAGCCTCCTAGCATCATACCGGGACAACAGAGCCTCTGGGACTGCCTCAGAGACTGGTATTATCAATCCCAGCCCCCCATCTCAGGATCGGGCCCCGCTGCCCACACTCACACTGCACCGTCAGGTAGGCAGAGGCTGATGGCGAGCGGCCCAGGCTGTTGCTGGGGATACAGGTGTATTTTCCAGCATCCTCTGGCTTGACGCGGAAAATGATCAGCGTCCCATCGATCAGGATCCGCACCCTCAACTTCAGGTCGCTATGAGAGAAGAGGGGAGGAGGATCGCAGGGAGACCCCAGGGGCAATGCCCACCCCGTCGGTGGCCCCAGCACAATTCGGGAGCAGGAGGAGGAGGACGCATCGCCCCGCTGGCTGCAAACTCACTTCTTGAAGTAGACGTTCTCCTCCTCCCAGTACCACAGGTAGGTGAGGTTCCCGGGGTACGCCTCGGCCTGGCAGGTGAAGAGCGCATCCTGGGAGATGTTGACCGTGATGTTCTCCGGAGGGGAAACGATGAAGGGAGGTCCTGGAGGGGGGAGAGAAAAGTGTCACCCCCACCAGTACAGGTGTCCCCACAAAGGTTGCTCAGGCTCAGCTCCATCACAGCATTGTTGGCTGGGAGCTGCTGGAGGGCTCCGGAGCAGAGCTGGCCCCGATCCCCTGGGATCACGGGGCGCAGGGGCTGACCTCGAAGAGCACGGTGGCCCTGTTATTGCCAACCCTTTCCCCTAATCTCCGCAGCTTTGGGGAGGGGGCCCTGCACCCATGGCGCACGGCTCTGCTTCTCCCAGGGCACATGAGCTCACGCCTCCCTTCATCCCAAGCACTTTTCCAGGATCACATCACCCGCGGGAAAAATCCAGGGGGAAAACAGCAAACTGCCAGGAGCCGGCAGTGAGCATCCACAGCAGAGCAGAGGACACCCCACGCTCCTCTCTCTGCTGGTAGCTGTTGACCTAATTAAGGATTTATTTAATAAAAGAGGGAGCGAGGAGCAGGAGGCCTGCCATGCATCACCGCTATCTGACGAAGCGCTTTGTGACAGCCTCAATCTTTTCCCCGCTTCCCAAACAAAACCAAGCCGCCATCGGGGCCCAGCTGTTCATCGGCACAGCCACCGTGGTGCCCCAGTTAAGTGGATTCCTCCATCCTACAAACGGGATGCGGAGCCACGGGGCAGCCGGCACGACGCCAAGCCCCCAAGGTCAGAGGGTCACGCCGGGGCAGCACCGCGTCCCTGCGGTCCACGGAGTTCCATCCACGGGAGCCCCCTTCCCAGCCCCCTGGGGACGCCAGCGGCTGAGGACAAGCCGGAGGGTCTCGGGTAGAAGATCTCACCTTGAACGAGCAGGCGCGTGGTGTGCACAGCCTCCCCCTGGATGCTGTACGCCCGGCAGGTGTAGGCACCCCTGTCTTCCCGGCTGATGGAGAGCACTGTAAGGCTCCCGTCGCTCACCTGGGGACAACAAGGGAAGACCCTGGAGCACGGGCAGGGCGGATGCGCCTTAGCCCCGGCTCAGCACCCTCCCTCCCTCCACGCCTCCCACGGCGGAGAGCTGCCGGCGCTTTTAGGGCCAGATGAGAAACGGCTTTCCCCGCTCTGCAAGACTTCAGATATTAATAAACCAACACACGCGTTTCTGCTCGACGCCAAGGGGAAGGAAAAAAAAAATAATAAAATAAATAACCCTCGTAACGTATTCATCTCCCGCAGAAGTGACTGACGGGCGGCAGACTCCAAACCGCTCTGGCCCAGCGCCCCAGCACCATCAGTGCTTCACAAGGAGCAGGATGCCCCGACAGAGCATCCCCTGTTCCCCAGGGACCAGCTCCACTACCGGGGTAGGATACGAGGGGGAAGCCCCGGCTTGGCCGTGTCCTCCCCGTGGGGCCACCTCACAGCCGTGAGAGGAGCGGCCGAATTCCTCCCCGGGGACACAGCTGAGGAAGGACGGGTGAGGGACCATCACCACCGGGGTAGCAGCTCCTCCATGCACAGGGAGCCCTGCTCCCAGCCAGGCTCCCCCCCCCCACCTCATTCTGCCTCATCCTTCTATTTCAATTAGTAACAAATGATTCCTAATTACTCTCATTAGTGCCTGCGCTGATTCCAATGCCTGATTTACCAATTACAGCTCAGGGGGGAAATCTCTGCCCAGGAGCCTCCAGGATGCAAAAAGGGTCCTGGGAGGGAGGCAAAGCCTTCCCCTGCCCAAACCTCCCCCTGCCCCAG